AACCAAGCAGAGGAACAGACTGGATGTAGAGAACAGCTTGGGATCAGCTGTTTTCACACTGAGCTCATCAAAGCAGGTCAGGTGTAATAATGAAAATAAAGTAAAACTAATTAAGTCAGACTAGCTATAATTTTTTTTCTGTAATTTGTTCCCTATTTTTTAAGCTTAAATGTGGTTATAAGGGAGTTACTCAAAGGAGCTCCAGTTTTATAAATACAGGTTTATAATATGATTTTATTTTCTATTTGTTTCGATTTCTTACTAACTTCCAGGCAACATGCTTGTGTTTTGTTTTTTTTTTGTTTTTTTTTATCATTTGAGATTAAAATGCTAAGAATCAAATGCTCAAATTAAAAGATTAAGTAAAATTGTTTTTATTTTATAATCTGTTGTTGTACCTTCCACTTTTGGACAATCATCAATACTTTTGAATTAGAGGGCCAAATTTCATTTCAATACATATGATCTACACTTCATTTGCAGTTGAATAAGGTCATTTCACAGCAGGTTTGTAGAAAAATACAGAAATGCTGAAGATTGATGTCTAGTTAGTTAGTTTTTATCCACCTAAAACCAATCAGGCTGACTAGCTAGAAAGTAGGGTTCTCATGATACTAAAATCTCAAACTCCATATCGATCCCCAGGAAAATACTCGATGTTCGATACTATTTTTACCATCATTGGGTTAAACAAAAAGTCAAATAAAGGCATAAAAAACATATTAGCATTCATTCATTCAATCTCAACATGGACCATGCTTTTGCAACAGAATCATAGATTCTATTACTTGAATAAGCGTGCAAATTAATGCAAAATACATGCCCCAAATATGACTAAATTTGACAATACTTTAATTTTGTTGGAGGTATTATTCATTTAATGTGAAAATAATCAGGAAATATAAAATGAACAATAGCAAAAATATTCAAATACCACTTTGATTTAGTATTGACACCATGGCAAATGTAATTGGATACAGCGTTCGAGTATGGATACTTTTCACAGTAACGATACTTTTGACCACCTTATTTGAAAGCTGAAGAGAGGGAAAGAGGCTTGTTGTTTTCTAAAAAAAACAACAACAAAAAACAGTCAATATTGACCAATAAAAAGATACTCTATGGTTATCAATTAAGGTAATATTTTTGAAACTAAAAACACAGCACATCATATTACAAGTAAAATTGTCTAAATTACATTAAACACAGTTTTTTTTTTACTGTTATGAAAGTATTAATTTTATAACTGTAGTTCAATCTTTCCCTATATTGTGTATAGGTTTTTATTTTTTATGATTTAGTAATCTACAGTTTACAGCATGAACTAACTTAGAACAATGAACATTAATAATGTCACTACCTTTTTATTATTTTCATCTGGTTAGTATAACTAGAGATTACACGAGAGGAGCTGTAAAAAAAGAAAGAAAGAAAGCAGATGGAAAGTATTCAATTCGATGTGGGTGGTGAGATAAAACAAAGCCACCCATATATCTATAGTTATAAACACTTTGCTTTTAAAGCTAATCCATGATCTAAACCAGCTTTTCTCTTCCTCTCTTGCTGTATCCTGCCCTCCGTTCATCTTCCCTAAACATCCCAACTCATACCTTCTGTCAACATGCCCTGGCTTCATTAATCAAATGATAATGAACAATGTGGAGCACGGTTCTGCCTGGTTTGAAGAACCATCTGCAAAGAGTACACAGGTAATTGTGCCCCTTAATCTGTGTTATTTGGTTATGAGTAGTAAACAGAATTTTATAAAAACAGAACGTTTGACACTTTAAAATTAGAACAAAGTGTTCCATAGCAAAACAAGGTCATTTTGACATTGCATATCCATCTCTTTTTGGGAAGAGGGAGCCGTTATGCAATGAAAGGAGAGGCTGACGATGGACCACATTCCTGCTGCCTGTTAAAGACTGCTTAAATGAGCAGAAGACATGCACTTACATACAAGTTCAAGAGAACGCCCATCCATCACACGAGGGGCTAAAACAGCATGTGTGCTGACGTTCTTTAAACAAATGACAGACACCGCTGGTTACAGCAGCACCTTATGGTACTATTTGTTCGAACCTGCCTGTTCAGTCTCTGAGGAGTACTCATTGTGAACATGGCGGTCCGATCGCCGGGGGACTGGATTTCATTAACCTGCTGATAAATGAGGATGCAGATATTTATTGCGCTATTTGAACAAACCACAAAAAGCAGACCAACATTTAAACAGTTTCCCTTTTCTTTTCTACTGATCTCCTTTTTCATGCACTCCCCTCCCTTCATTTCTGCTTCATTCTTTAACTCCATCTCCGTTCTATTTTAATCCTGTTACTTTTTTAAGCCACTGCCTCTACTTTTTTTTTGTTTTTTTTTGCTTTTGCTTTCTTTCTCCATCTACCTGACATTTGGCCTGTCAGCATAGTCTGCACTAAAAGTTATGAGTTCATTTTGCAGCAATGTTCTTAAGACATAGCAGACAGAATAAGATAACATGATATGGAATGTAGAGGGAATTAGGATGAAAAAGTAAAAGGGAGATGTGAAAAGGCAACACACTGGCACGACATTACAGGCATGCAAACAATAAAGACTAGGACTGGCAGAAACATCTGGAAGCGGGAGGAAGATTGGATCTAGATTAAAGAGATAGCACCAGAGCGAAGAAAAGAATGGGTGGAAATGAAGTAAAGTAAAGGTGAAAGAGCTTACAAAAGGATAAATATTCCTCCCTTACTCTTAACATTTTCAGATGCAATTCCCTTTTCTTTAAAGGCTTCCAAAACATTTAAGGAATCATTTCTAGTCTAGCACAGCCATTAATTCATTCAGTCCAAATCACACAGGGTGTCAGAGTTCAGCAGAGCTGCAGGGCACTGCTCTAAACCTAATGTGCTGGCTCCAAACGTTTGAACAAGACATTGACATGTTCCAGGGAAACAATATGGACCAGGGCTCTCTCACACACACAAAGCAGAAGAAAGGGAAACCAGTTTATAACACAAACACTGTGCTCTCACTCAGCTGCAAGTACAATGACACACCACACATTCACAAAGCAATAAGCATCAGTAGTGCTGGACACCATCTCACCATCCAGTTACCACAACAACTTCCCATTTGCCTTTACCCATTTCCTTTTCAGACGGGTGGCTTGCATCTATCCCTCCGGTGACTACAGCAACTTGGAGGGAAATCTACTGGTCACTAGAGTAATGGATGGGAGTGACTATAGCAACACGGCCTCTTACAATTGCACCAAAGTGGAAAAACAACAAGCAAAGCAAGCTAATATCATTAAGAAAATAAAAAGGAAAAAACACAAAAATTGCACACAAAAAAAACAACAAATAAATAGAAAGGTGAATGCTGGTCAAGGTTCCAGGTCAAACCAGCCCCTTTTGCTAATTAGTATCCCTATATGTTTCCAATACCATTTTGTTTTTTCATTTTATTTCATTTATTTCATGCAATATAGAGGTACGTGTACATATAAATATGTTTCTGGGGAGTTTATTTCTATTTTTTTACTTATTATTTATTTTATAGGTATTCTCATTGGGGCTGCTGGTCTATTTTTTCAGCTCTGATCTCTTGATATACATGCTAAATATGTATATTAGGGCTGCAACTAACAATTATTTAGCAAATCGATTAATCTGTTGATTATTTTTGCGATTAATCAATTAGTAATCGGTTCCTTAAAGATTTTTTACGAAATTAAACCAGGTGAATCTAAAAAACTTTTTCCCTTTGAGGGTTTTTGGTTGGTTCTTTTTGCCGGAGGAAAAAAAATTATACTAAATACATGCCAAATGTTTATATATTTTTTAACAAATTTGATATAATTACTGCTCTAAGTGGTTTTGCTCTGTCAGTTAAAGGTATATTTCACAGTCTCTATACTCAAAATAACGATTAATAGATTACTAAATTAGTTGGCGATTTCTTTAAAAATTGATGAATCACGATTAATTTGATTAATTGTTTCAGCCCTAATATTTATCACAGTTTTTAGTTTTTAAATAAACTCTAGAAGCTCAAGCAATCTCCTAGTAGGAGATATTATCAAATTACAGAGTCTATCACCAGAAAGCAACAAGCACAGGGGTACAGAACTATCCCAGTAATGATGTAACAAACCCAAAGCCCTAGCTACTGGAATCAGTCTTCTAGCATGAGCTCCCAGAGTTGTTTTTGCTTTCTTCATACCCCAAATCCACTTCCATAACGGCAAACAATAAAAACTTAAACCTGAGTCATGGATTTGCAGGAGAGGTAGCATCTGCGTCTACATAGAGGTCTGTTAGAGATATACACAGTCACATTTAGTTCCCCTTTCCCAACACTATTGAACAAGCCTTTATTAAACATAGGCAATTGTTAAAAAAAAAAAAAAAAACAATAACAAAACTCAGCTTCTCTGTATTCATATAAATACAGACAACAGATATTGGATTACGCCTTACACCACCATTGTATCTGCTTTTATATTGAGACTAAATACATCTCTCAGCCTTTAAACATAGCATCAAATATAACAGTATAATTGGACCCAGTATTGTACCCCCTTCCGTCTATGCCTCTAACCTTGGCACAGTCACAATCGATGCCAGGAAAAACAAACTAAAACAAACAGCGGGGCTGGGATTATATCTTAATGCCTTTTGTGTGAGTTTTGTTTAATCAAACTAATAACATCCTCTAATGCTTGTTTAACTCCGCTCAGCCTTTCAATGGCTTCTGCCCTATAGACTTGAACCAAAATGGCCTCTGCACGTGTTTGTTGACAGCAAATAGATACAAGCACTAGATGCTACAGTGAAATATATTATATAATATATATAGTATTAGGATTTTTTTATTGCTTCTTCCCCTATCAGTAGTGTATATCAAATAGCCTATGTGTGTTTTTACTTTAACCAAAAGCATCAGAACCTTAATACCAAGCACACAGTGTTAGGCAAATTACCAAAGGAGGAGAATAATTTGGAACTCACCACTTTGGGTTTGGTCTTCTGTGGAGCAGCTGCTGATAATGTATCCTCCATGCTGGCCTTCTGAGATCCAGTGTCATTAGGTCCAAAACTGTTTGTCCTATCTGAGCCCTCTGCATTAGAAACTAAACCCTGAGCTCCATTGCTTGCTGTAGCAACAGGCCTGCCCTCAGTGTCCTCAAGACTATACTTCTGTGCTAAGACCTCTTGAGATGGGGCTCCTTCTCCTGGAGGTACTGCTTGGAATTCAACTTCTTTCAGTGGCTGAAGATGTGCAGGTGGGGAGATGGGGACAAAGGTGGCAGGCTCACTGATGTGGCGAATGTGCTTAGGTTTCATTTTGGATTTCAGTGGCGATGCTGGAGGAGATGAGATGAGCCGACTGTGGTTAATGTCCTCTGTGTCCTCTAATCCTACTTCAATGGGCTGAAATTGGGCATTATCAGGCAGAGACTGTAATCTATTAGGTCTCTTTTTAGGTGGCCGACGTATTACTCTGGGAGACAGAACCTCAGCGAGCTTGAGATCCAAGTTAAACTTCTCTTCCTTTGAATCGTTGTCTATCAAATCATCTTCATCCTCAGGGTTATCAGATAGAGCCATACTTTCTGGCTGGGAGGCAGCCATCTCAGCCTGTAGCATTTGTGTGGGCTTAGCCTCCGACTGCCACAGTTCCTCTCTTTGCTCACTGAGGATTGGTTCACTGCTAGAAGGTGGAATCTGTCCAGATTGATCCAACTCACTGACTTGGTGCGTGCTGCCAGTTTGAGGATCAATTTGGGAGACTGTAGGAGCCTCACTACGACGACTGGGGTCACTAAAGGACTTCTTCTTGGGGGCCTTGCCATTGCCATGATCATCTATGATCAACCTGTCCATTGCACCGGGCTCAGCTACAATATTTCTGATTACCCTACTGTAATCCTGAATGCCATCATCTCGTAAACCACTTTCGCTGTAAACAGACAAGTCACTGGCCACACTGCCTTCATATTCGGATAGTGCAGATGCAACAGAGGCCTCAGGAGGAACTCCTCCACCTTTGACAGACAGGGAACTCAAAAGGTTGCTGTCAACTGATGAAAAGTTGTTGCTCCCTTCTGCCGCTACAGAACAGCACCGCTGAGGCATGGGGTCACTAAGAGAACGGTAGACAGTGGACTCGCTATTTCCTACAGCTGCTATTGTTGGCTCTGCATGAGAGCCGTTACTAGAATCAGACCCTGTGTTGTTGTTAGCAGAGGGGGAGAACTTGCGCCTTCGACGGAGTGCACTTGGGGTTGCAGGAGCTTCAAATCCTCTACTTCCTCCCTCGGATGCTGCAGCTGGCATGGCTCCCATTGACAGAGTACTGTTAGCGTGGATTCCCTCAGAGTTGGGTTTGTTTATACAAGTAGTACCTTTCATATCCATACTATGATTGTCAATCTGAGCCGTACAGACAGAATGAGTCACAGAGTGAGGAAAAAGCGTTTCATTCAGACGGTTTGTACAGTTCAAGCTGCTCCCTGGCATTGACTTTTCATCTTGCTTGAAGTCTTCTACTTCAGTTGACTGCTTCCATCCAATCACGGGCTGCCCCAGAACATTTTTTGCTATTCTTGAACCTAAATTATCTCCAGCTGCTCTCAGGAAGGGCCTCTCTGAGAGGTCACCGGGACCCGTCTCTGGCTCTGTCACAATCCCCTCATCCGTTAAGCTGGACTCATGGCCTGAAAGTTCATCCATGGAGCGGTCATAGAGCATGCTTTCCTCTGAGTCGCCCTTCAGTAATGCTCTCTCCAGCTCTCTGCTTTGTCTATTCGACTTCTCCCATGCGTCTGTACCCCTACTGTTTAGCTTCTCCAGCTGCATACTTGATTCACTCCTCTCCCTGCTCTCTCTCTCCTGCTCATGTTTATCTTTGTCTTTTGTGTTCTCAGACACTTGAGCTGCTCTCCTCTCATCTTTAACGCCTCCTGCTCCTTCCTTGCCGTCATCTGTTTGCTTGACCTGTAAATCTTCATCCCCCAAAATAGTATCAGATGACATTAAAGCTACATCATCCTCATCCCTAGTGCACATCTGGCAGATATCTTGAATGACCTGCCTAGCTTCCTGTACACACCTCTCCTCTAGTGGAGTTGGCATCACTTCCCCATCCTCGTCCTCCAATCGATAAATCCTCGGATTTTGCCCATACCTAAAATCCCCACTATCACTTTCTACTTCTCTGTCTGACACCACCACCTTTCCCTCAGTTCTCTCATCATCCAAGTCAAGTTGCTGCTCAGAAGAACTCCTCTTTGTTGGTCTATTTGTAAAGTAAGACCTTGCACCTGTTGAAGGTTTGTCTGAATAAGTGAAGGATTTTGTGCGCCTTAGAGTGGCTGTTAGGTCTTTTAGTGAGGGGCGGTGACCCAAAGGTAAATTTGTCCCACCCCGAATGTCCGAGTCCCTACAGTACTCTGACGACTTATCCCCAGCCCCACTTCGGTCCCCTCCACTTGGTCTTCGCATTTTCAGTTTTGGAACGTCGTTCTTTAGTGAGTTTAAGAGAGTCATAGTTTCTGATGTGATATCTGGGTTGGACATAGAAATCTTGCCATCCTTCTTTGCAGTTTCCCTCCCTGTTGTTTTTGTAAAAACAGCCGTTTCAGGACCCCTTACTCCCCCACATTCTTTGGGTGTTAAACCTTGTATGCAAGTTACTGTGGGCAAAATCTTTGGACGCACCCGGGCAGGGGCACGGGAGAAGTTATCTCCATGTCCAAAGCTAGGGGACCGGTACATAGTAAAATTCCCATGATAAGTTTTATTGAATACAGAGGAGGGAACAGATCTGCTCGTATTCCCTTCTGTTCCCCCCCTGTTAAAGAGCATATTGGCTCCACAGCTGCCATCAGTTCTCTGGTCCTCATCTTTAAGTGTCTCAGTGCTGGAATATCTGCTACCAAGGCATGAATCACCAGGACTGGAAACAAAAGGGGGTATCTTCACCTTTGACACTCGGGATACAACAGGAAGTGTGCTGGACATTGCAGGTGAGGAGATGCGCTCCCAGTGCTGCACCCTGGCTCTGTTGCTACGAGCGCCAGCTTCTCTGGTTGATTGGCTCCGACGTAATGTCAGTATAACTTCTCCAGTGTTGTGGTGCTCTCTCTGTGTGTGATCCATGGTCAGGGCTGGGTCACTATCACTGTCTTCTGATTCACCATACTGATCATTGTAATCATCGCGACCTGTTGCTTGAGCAGCCCCAGTGACCTTCTTCTTCTTTCTTAGAGAGCGACGGCGCACTTGCTCACGACAGTGGGGGCCTAATGAAGAAGGGATGTCTTCCTCACTGCCTGATGACCTACCAAAGATCTTTGCACCACAGCGGGCATTTTTATTGCGGGATAAATAGCTGCCCCCTTGCTCAGTGTTGCTCTTCTCCCCTCCCCAGCAAGTGACAGAGGAAGCAGGACAGGAGGGATAACCCCAAGCCACTCCTCTTCTTCTTCTGATGAGCACCTCTTCTTCGTCTCCAGAGCTTAACCTCCAATAAAAGCTGAGTGGAGAACTAACCTTTGTAGAGGCTCCTGGCTCAGAGGGGGGAGCTACAGCAGAAGAACAGGAGGTAATAGATTTATCTAGAGCTGAAGTAGAGGAGATGGAGGAGGTGGTGGGGGCTGGTGCTCTAGAGGAGCTATGTGAGGAATGTAAACTATCCCTGGGCAGCCCGACCCCCTGTCTATCCCTTCTCTCCCTCTCTGTCGACTGCTGTAGAGAGGAGGAGCAGGAGGAGGTGTCTAAACCTTCTGATGGTCTTGAATAAGGAGCAGCACAAGGTTGAAGGTCAGGTTTAGAGTCAGGTGTCAATCTGGGGAACTTGCAGGTAGCATCTGACTGAGCATTGGCACTATGAAATCTGCATGTTGATAAATTAATCCTTGGATGATTAGACCAGGTGTAAAAACGACTTCTAGAAGATACCTCAGCCTTTTCTATGTCTCCTTCCTCTTCATTAGAATGCTGATGATGTTCAGTTTTGGAATAAAAATCTGCACAGTCACAAGAAGTTTCTTTAGCAGTGTCCTCACTTTGTGATCCAGGTATGCATTTGTTGAAAGCAGAAATGCAAACTTCACTTTCACTCAAGCTTGGGTCAAGTAAATAAGCTCGGCCAGCTGTTTTTAAAACTTCACAGGTGTTAGTCTTGGATGGCTGCAGAGCTTTCTCGTCGAAAAGTTGTCTGATTTTGGTAACACTGGGCCACCTTTCCGAATGTGTGGGGATGTGGTGATAACTTCTGTTAGATTTACAAGGTGGGAGAGTCTCTTTACTTCCAACATCCTCATCCTCGTCTGTCGTTAAACTCTTTCTAAGTTCAGCGGAATGTATCTTAGAATATCCTTTCTTACCAGACTGGCAGCTCGCTGCTGATAAACGCGTAAAAATCCACTTATCGCATTTTCTCTCAGAGTCGGAGCCAGACACAGAATCGGTCCCAGAGTGAAACTTCAGCGCTTTACTGTCCGACAGAGAATCGCTCTCCAGGAAACACCCCTCACCGCTGTCTTCGTGGGGAGATTTACGACACGGAGATCCGTCTCTGTTGTCGCCTCGGGCCCGGAGCAGAGCGCCGCTCTCCCGCGTCAGCGCCGCACCATCTCCCGGTGAGGCTCGGTGCGCAATGGTGGATCCGCCGCTCCTCCTGCTGCCGAACCTCTCCGTGAGCTGGCGGATGGATGGAGAAATGGAGGAGGGAAGAGTCGAGGAGCCTCTCTTTGGCTCTGCGGTTGCGGTGGCTGAGATTTTGGAAACTTTTCTTGACACACTGACATTACGCGTCGCCCAGGATTGTTCTGCTCGGCTGGGCTCCGGGGGGAGGGCGACACCGACAACCTCCGAACCCTCTGGTTTGTTTCGCTGCTCCTCACTACTTGGGGCCAACTTTTTGAAAGAGACGCTGCGATACACGCTCGCTTTCTTCTCTTTTCTTTCTGCCATTGTTCATGTCTTTTCTTTGTTGCAACTCAAAGCACTTTTTTCAGCTGTGGCTCCATTCTTCCCCTCCTCATACAGCCCAATCTCTACTAACCCCAAACCAATTCCTTTTTGTTTTTAATTTAAACTGTTAGTAAAACATCCAGTTTTTCTCTAACTTATAAAACAACCAGACAATGGGGGGGGAAAAGAAAAAAAAAAGGTGAGGGCAGGCCTCTTGATCAAAAACTTACATATTTTATCGTTTGGCGAAAATATCCGTTCAGAAAAAAAAAACAAAAAAAGTTTTTTTGGCCCCAAACTTCCCTCAGCCACCCTCCTCACAAACACGACTTTTCCATTATTATTCCTGTTGTTTGAACCTCTGCGCGCATCCTCCTGCATGGGACCCGACCACTCTCAAATATTTGTGGATTTCCTATTTTGGCAACATTTGCTTTTTTTTGTTGTGTTTTTTTTTTTTTTTTTTTGCGTTTGCACGTTAATGCTTGAGATAGGGCAGAGGGGGTGGGCGGGACTAGGGGGGTATAAGGGCTGTCATAACCCCCCTGGGGACTGAGAGGAAAGATTTTTTTTTTCTTGTTGATAGAGGGGAGATACAGTGGACTAACTGGATGTAATTATAGCCTCTTCCCTTGTGAAAAACACAACAAGACTGTCAGAAAGGAAAGAAAGCTCCTAGAGTAGCAGGGATTATAAATAAAAACTGATTTTTAATATACTGACCATTAAGCTCCAGGAAGTAGAGAAGCCACATCAATGCATACTTTACAGCTATTGTGGCACAGCAAGGAGCTGCAGAAACAGCGTGTCAGCATTAGTAGGAAGGAGGAGGGGGCAAGGATGAAAGTTTTCACTACAACACAATAAGCTCTCTGTGGTGCTTCCCATGTGGCTGTCTGCTTAACAGGTCCTTTTGTTCCAGAGGGGAATTCTCTGCTCACAAATAAAGAGATGGGTTCTCACTGCAGCGCCCCCTACCGACCGACTCACTGCTGCTCCAGATCTAGAGCAAAGAACATGATGGTGGAAGGAAAACAGTCTACTGTATGCTGGTTTGATAGGACAGGATCTTTTTTATTTAACCGGGGGGGGGGGGTAATCCCATTGGGATTAAAAACCTCTTTTTCAAGGGAGTCCTGCTAAGAGGCAGCAAAGTTACATAAGATACATTAACCATAGATGCATTAAGATAAATGACAGGTACATAAAAAATAAAAAACATATCAAGTAAAACAATTACAGCTCATTGAGGCTGCTTCAAATTCTTTCACTTTCAACTTAAAAGCATTTAGAGATAAAAACTCAGTCAATTTCCAGTTTCTTTGTAAAAAAAAAAAAAAAAAAATCCACGCACAAGGAGCTGCATAGCTAAAGGCTTTCTTACCTAGTTCTGTGCTGGCAAAAGGAACAGGATCTTTAACCTAAGAAACTGATAAATGTTCTTTGTAGGTTCAAAATAACATTTAAAATTTGAATCCAAAGCCTTGGTTTTCGTTCTGCATGGAGTTTGCATGTGTTTTTTTTTTTTTATATGTGTGGCTTTTTTTCTGTTACTCCAGCTTCATCTCAAAAACATGCCAGCTATTAGGACTGGGCAATAAAATTATATATATCATAACAGAAACCTGACCTATATCAATAGTAAATATGTCAGATAGAAAAAATAGAACTTCACTTAACTCTGATCTAGAGCTGCACAGCATTCTGGGGGATGTAGGCAGAGCTGACCTCTTTTTAAAAGACAGGGCTTATGTTTAATAAAGGTTAAGCTTCAGAATATATGGGTTTGATAGTTACATATTGTATATATTGGTTAAAATGGCAAAGAGGGCAATTCAAAATCCTATTAGTTTTACAGTTAAAACAAGTAAATCGGAGGGAAAGAGTATTATTAAAGAAAAGCTGATGGAAAAATGGCACAAAAAAAAGTGGGATGATGAAAAAACAGGAAGGTGGTTTTATAAAATTCAGAAGTTAGCAGGAAAACTAAGAAACGGAAGACGAAATAGAAAGGAGGAGAGAGTGATACCAAGGTTAAGATTTGAGCATACAGGACTTAACTGAACACTTTTCAAAACTCAAAAGCATACTACTGGCAAATGTGATTATTGTGGAAAATATGAAACAATAGATCATGTTATACTGGAATGTCATAAATATGAAAGTAAGAGAAGATATATGAGGAGAGATTTTGAATGTATTAAAGAGGAAGAATTTCGGACTAAACATATACAAGTAGTTATTTGTTTTTTAAAGAAAACTAAATTATTTCATAGAATTTGATTATAGAGAGGACGAATGTGTGTATGATATAGATGGGTAAAATATCAAGTTATGTATAAGTATGTATATTTGTGTGTGTATGTGTGTGAATATGTATATAGTTTGTTTTTTTTCCACTTAGAATTTATATATATGTTTATTAGTAGATAGTCCATCACGAACCACACTTCATACCAGTAAGTGGCGGTAATGCTACTAAATGTTTGTTGCCAACCGCCAATAAATCCAACAAGAAGAAGAATAAAGGTTAGGGTTATAATTTTGGTTCCACCTTTTTTTTTTCCACTTATTATTTTTGAAGAGGTACAAAAATAAATAATTATCAATTTCTACTGATATGAAAGGTTTATATCATAATGCATTTGTTTGCTATCTAATTGCAATGCTATTTGCTTTCTAAATACTGAAGTTAGGATCAAGTGTCTGCAGTCAGGGTTGTTTTTTTTCTTATATTTCTTTGAGATGGAGTTTACGCCTCCTCCCTAAATGACTAAGCTGGTATGGACATTGCTGGGGTGTCCTTTAACCCAGAAAGTCTAAAAATGAAACAAACAGGCTTGGAAAAACACCTTTAACCTACTTGGATAGATTCCCTTTAGCCATCCAAAAGATTCTGGCATAATTCTGGTTAATTATGATTTAATGGAAAATTTGAATTATCTAACTTAAGCATTTACAATACATTTTTTTCAATACAACTGCCATTAAAGCAATTGAAAAAGGTTTTGTCTGTTGTATTTATTCCAGATTTGATCTATGTATGGGATCATCCTCCTATTAGTTCCAGGTTTTGCACAGCAGACCCAAGCTGTTGCCCTCAGACAGAGTGCCATATGTTAGGATAATCAGGAGCCATCCAGGAACCCATAATCTGGCCAATATGTCCGCAGTGACCAGTGCAGGGAAAGATGGTCAAACTGGACACCTCTGGCTGCCCACTTCAAGAAAACAAATGCTTCTGGTGAAAAGTTTGTGGTGAGGCTCTTAAACTTTACAGTACTGTAGCAACTGTCCACCAGGGTGTGGAGAAGATTTCTTTACTGGTAATACTGTCATGTAGAGCACATACACTGCAAAAACTTTCTGAGCAGGAGGCCTATATTAGCAATGTTTTTACATTTAAAAATCCACTAATTAAAATAAACTCTACCTTTTCTGTTTAAACACACAGCCAGAATTATGACTGGTTATTAATTACAGGATCTTTGTCTTGCCTTGTGTGCAAATCACTGAGGCTCAATCATCTAAATATTAATGGGAGCATGTGCAAAAGTTTCACTTAATATATCAAAAAGGATTAAAGGAAAATGTACAATAAATTCCAGCTTGTATTCACATTCTGTGAGATTTCTTAAAGCTGTCTGCTGTGTAATTGAATTATTCCAATTCAAATTAATCATACCACTACAATGACAGAATTCTAAACCACACCCCTTAAAAATCATGTTTTTTCCATGGTGTTTTTATTTGTTTTTTTTGTCAGTAAGCTTTAAATTATAAAAACATACAGCGTACAAACGGAGTCCAAAACAATAAAAATAACCAATAAAACATGTGAGGCACCGAACACTTTTATTTTACACATATTTGAACATATAAAACATAACAAAACTCCTAAAAACACTAGGACAGATGTAGGACACGTTTACACATCACACACATTATAAAGCCTCACATTAAGAGCATTGAAGGGTGCACTTTATAACTTAGACTATTACATTAAAAAAAGCTTCAAACACATTACTTCATATTTGTGTTTAAATATATACCTTGCATTTAAAATGCATAGACATTTCACATTGAGCTGAAGAAATATTTGTCAGATATAAGAGTAATAGAAACTTTATCATTATCCAAGCTTGATGCATATAAATCATTTAGTGGGAGATGAAATACCCTCACTTATGTGGGTCTTAAAAGATCGACTTAATTACCAGGAAACTGTTGGGGAAGCTTGTGCAGCAAGAGCATCTTTGGGATTTCTGTTATACTGTCCAGCGTGACACAGATTCACAGCTTCTGCATTTATAAATAGGCATTTCCTAAATAAAAACATAAAAAACACACTTGTTTGTACTTTTTTTTAGGGCGATAAAAAAACAAATAAGGTTCACATTTTAAATCAAAGAGAAAGGTTTTAAACTTATAGTAAAAATGTGATTAAAAGGATGCTATGCTAAGCAATGCATTATATCTCTAGAAAACCTGTGGCAGAGAGCTCAGAGTGATGCATGTAGACACCTCTGGCAACGAAATGTAAAAATCCTTCAGATAAATTCATGTTTCATTGCAGCAGGATTTTCTTAAAACAAAAAAAAAGTAAAATAGAAACAGTTTTAACAAAACTTTACATACAACAAGTAAATTAGACATTAGTCTTAATTATCTAATAATTCCTGTAAAAATAACAAACGGAAGCAATTATTTAATATTACCTTCCTTTGTCTAGCAATGCATTATTTAAAATTCATGCCTTCTTAATTTATTTGAGCATAAATAAAAAATTGTACACTAGTTCTTTTCGTACTGACCCATCAGCCATAGACTAGATATTATTAAGCTTAGAAAATCAGAAAATGGCAACCAGTCATCAAAGGTAGTTCAATTATAGAATAACTGTAGCGATGAAATGAAAACATCTAATGCAATAACCAGATTCACAAGGCTTTTTAGACATTATAAGTAAATACAGCTTTGAAACTACACGAGGCTCTTTTTCTGTCTTTTCTGTTGTGGTTGATGTTTTTTCTTTAATTAAAATAATGGAAATTTTAAAGGATGGGTTGATACGGTGTGAGTGTTTGCTAAAACGTGTGTGCGTTTCATTTCTTAGATAGATTAATTATTTGGGATAAAATGGATGCAAAAAAAAAAAAAAAGCATTATGTAAGTGTCTGTTAGAAAAAGGGACTTGTATATGTATTTATATGTATACATACTTTTGTGTGTGTGTGAATATTTAAACTGCACGGTCTTAAAATAATAAACAAGATATCAAGGCTAGGTGTTTATAGCTGCAGCGGATTTCTAATACTTTTTTTAAAGCTTCTTGCACATCTTTACTGGGTTATAAATATAAATGACTGAATCCTTGCATCTTTAGTCTTCAATCTCTAACAAGCTTCCACAAGTTTTCAGAATCTAACCCAGCTTTTATAGAAAATGTTCTCCCTTTCGCAGCGAGTGGAGAACAAGGTCTTGACTTACTCTACACCTTGTCTTTCAGTCCATAAATGGTCCTTTTGTTCCCTCTTTTTCACTAGACTAATGTCACCCTTGACATTAAAATGCATTTCTCTTTAAACCACGTCCAAAGTGCGCTGTGAGCTGGACTTTGTCATAATCGGTTCATAATGACCTGCACGGCTCATAATGTGATTCATGCTGAATAAATCAGATTGATTACACTCATTACAGAGCCTGTGTTTAAGTGCAGTGGAGAACACACGCCCTCTAGTGGTAACAACAAAACAAAAACACTGAGAGTCAAAACTTGGAGAGAAACAAAAAAGATTCAGCCTCTATATCTTCTGCAAGTGCAATAACAAAATAACCACTGGATCATATTTTGAGTCAGTTTTGATCACAAATTACACAACCTCTACCATTTCCTCTCCATAGTGCCATTTGCTTGATGGAAAAATCCCTGGCAGGTCCTTGGGGTTAACTTATTGAATTCTCCTTTAAATTCACATAGTGGTACATGAGGAGAACATTTCACATGTAGAAAACCGACCATTAATGATGCGATCCTTCCCGATGATCAGTCTCTTCATCTATAAATCAGGAGCACACCCTGAATCTGTTGGTAATTGGTCAGCTTTGACTCGTTTATGTCAACCTTTCATTTCACTGCCATCTGGTCTTTAGGTTGCATCTCTAATGACTTCCTCACATAATGGTTGTAAGGACGACACCTCATGGGAGACGTAAACCATGTGGGACCTGCTCACGAGGCGGTTCCCTTCTCCCTCAGGGTGGTCACTCTGAGCATAAACTTCCTGGTGCTCCTGCGGTAACGTGGTTGGGTGAAATAAAACAAGATGGGGTCCAGGAAACTGTTCATGCTGGCAAATGGCCTTGTGCTCTTATAGACGATTGCAAAGAGGTTCCTCATCTTACAAGGGGCGTCAGGTAATGTTCGCACCACCAGGTACATGGTTTTAGTAAGATGGAAGGGAAGGAAGCTGATGCAGAACACAGCTGCCACCACCAGGATCATCCTAACAGCCCTGTCCCGTTTCTCCCCTGTGGCCACAGAGACCCCTTGGTAGGAAGCAGGACGGCACAGGACGTGGGCCATCCGACAGTAGCAGACCATCACACCCAGGAAGGGCAGCAAGAAGCCGATGAACGTGAGAACCATGCCGTAAGGATAGTAATCCAACGAGCGCTTTGGAGTGCTCAGATCATAGCATACTGTGCGGTTGCGCTGGATTCCAGTTGCGGCAAAGTTAAAAGTCGGCGCACAAAGGAGGGCGACCACCACCCATACGGCTGCACAGATGAGCCACGCCATCTTGCGGCCACCTTGTTTGTGCCACACAGCGAAGGGGTGGCAGATTCCAATGTAGCGATGCACACTGATGCAGGTGAGGAAGAGGATGCTGCCGTGTAGATTACTGTAAAAGGAGAAGGAAGGGGTCAATGTCATCAGCCTGTGAAGATGTTTGCATCTTTTAGTGTATCTAAACTAGAATTAAAACTGTGCGAAAGAATAAAACCAGAACCTTTAATCTACTTCTAGTAATTGTTTTTCTGTAATGTTAGTTATTTTCTCATGTCTTATGTCCAATCATGGCAATGTACGGATGAGGATTAGGGCCACTGAAAAAATAAAAAAAGTTAACTGATTTTTAAACATTATTTCAGTTTAATATGGGAAAAAAAAGACAGAACTCTGACTTTAATCTCAGAATTCTGACTGAAATTTGACAGCTAACAAACATGTTAGTAACAAGCCGTAGCCATGTCTGTGTTAGAGACTAGTTATCTTGTTTTAATCACCTTCTGCTCTTCCATTAAAGAAATAGCATCACCCCTCAGCCACGTAAAAAGTCGCCCAATTCCGTCATTTTCCACCAATGTGTTGTTTGGCCCTCCCAAAAAACTCACATCCTTGTCAGTGAAGTTGAGTGCTCCCACATCTCTTCCTTCATGGTGCTCATCTACATTAAGACCCAAATATTTGGAGAAAAAAGTCAGAATTCTGTGAAAAATGTCAAAATTCGGAGATAAAAATCTTAATTCTGAGAAAAAAGTCAGAATTCGAAGAAAAAAAAAGAGAATTCTGAGATTAAAGTCAGAATTCTGACTTCTTTCTCAATATACTGAAATAAAACTTAAAAATCAGTTACGGTAACTGTTTTTATTTTTTTTAGTGGCCCTAATCCTCTTCCGTAGAAATGTGTTGTTTAGTTAGTGCTAAAAAAAAAAGTAAAATGAACGAAAAAACATTTTTAAGATCTCCAGAATATATCTCAAACTCGTATGACTCAAACTATGTGGATGCCATAGTCCTCCAAGGAAAAAAACAAAGCAACAACAAACATTTTTAGCTGATGAGCAATACATTTCACCAGGCCATATTTTAGTACAGTGAAGGAATTTGCGTAGAAAATGGAATCTATAAACCATTTTTTGGAACATTTTACAAACAGATGTGCCAAAGTCTGTTCTTCATTGAAAGCCTTTAGATGGTTTTGATCCTTTTTCCAGGGAAATTTAAATAAGCTGAGTGTTAGCGAACAATTTCATCATAAAAAAAAAATATTTTAGCCCAAATCTCACCGTAAAAATTACCACTTTGCTTTGATTTAATTTCCAACTGCATCAGATGTGAACCATTCCTAAAATTGTGTTGGTGGACACAAAAAATTCTTTCCAAGGGCTTCAAAAAGGTCCTGAGACTCCTATGAACTACTAAAATAAAAAGTTAAACCTTTTAAAGAGTAAAAGAGGTCAGAAAGGCTTTTATTCAGCAAAGTCTGAACACAGGACCTCAGCAAAGCATCAGCCTTNCTCTGATTATTCTGTCCACTGAGTGTTGGGATCTGGAGAAGTTCCACCTTTCTCCAGCAGAGTGCGCCGTGGATCCTCCTGAGCTGAGCCTTCAACACACCTGAGGCACATCTCATCATTAGAGGATCCTCCAGTATATAACCTGCCTTCAGACCTTGCCTCAACGCCGCAGTGTTTATCCAGTTTGGTTAGCAACCTGAGCCTAGCATCTCCTGAGAATCTTTGTTGTCTCTGATTTAGATTGGATTCTAATACCTCCTTGCCTCTGCTTTCAGGAATCCTGTTTCCCTGTGAGCTCTGGATGAGCTTAACCTGCCGAGCCTGCCCTCTGAGCCAAACCTGAAGACTCTTGTCTGGATTCCCATGCTGCTCTGGACTAAGAGCTGGAAACCCAAAACCAAGGTCTGCCCTCAAGCTAGAAGTAAGACGCTGAAGCGGTTATTGGACTCTGCTGAACTAAACAATCTCTGGACCCAACAGTTCCTCTCTCAAAGCCAAACCCGGACTCTTCAAGGTATCCATCAGAAACTCTCAAACTCTTCTGCTCCCAAGCTAACTGAACTGTCATCCTCACAGACTCCAGTGAACCTACCCCCAGGCCTGAACCAGTTCCAGTGTTTATTCCATGTGCTTGTATTCAATAAACATTGTTAAACTTTTCATCAGTCTCCGTGGTGTTCTGCATACTGGGATTTTCTGAAACCCATCATGACAATGAGTAATTTGAATAATTCCAAAATCAGGTAAACGTACAGTAAACAGTAGATATTAACTGTGGAAATTCATTATCTTATCCTAACATAAATATAGTTCTCATTGTATGGACTGGTTTTCTAAGCTTCATGCTAAAAAAAATTTCAGTAAAAGTATTTCTTCAGCACAAATTTGTTCTTTTATATTCATAACATTTATTTCTATTCTTTAGGCATTTGAGTCTTTAAAGTACCAAACCTAAACTTAAGTCTGTTTCTCAGCAACATTTATAGACATTAAATCTGATGTTAGTATCCAACAGTTACCCAGTACTCAAGTAGCCTTTTTTATCGATTACGTTTTTACTTTTACTTGAGTAAAAAAATGTTAAAGTAGAGCTATTCTTACTTGAGTACAATTTTTGGGTACTCTACCAACCTCTGCTTAGGTCTGCTTTAATATTCCTGTTTATGGCCCAAACTTAAGTAGAAAGAAATTAAGTAAACAAAAGCATAAAAATGGCAATTACATTCTGTGTTAGAGCCACAATGTTTTTTTTTCTGTAATTTTTGTCATTTGTTGTAAGGCTAACATCAATACAGGTGTACTTTATTGTGATGTTTACTTTTATGTTGAAAGGCTTATTTCCTGTTTGAGTTTTTTCTGTTAATGGATACAGACTGTAGGAGGATTGCCTTGGCCGTGTATACCGTTTTCTTTTTTGTTTTTGTTTTTTTTGAAAGAAAAGAAATTGCACCATCATTTGTTGTATGTTATATTTTTTGGATAAAGAATTTTTGGGTTAAAAATTACGTTTTTTCAAGCATCCTTTACTTATCCAGGAGCGCACAGAGAATATTGAATCTGCTATAACTGCTATAACATTCGGGATGTCCAAATATTATTTTTTCATTTCCGATACAATGCCAATAATGAGGCTTTTAGGATGACATATACGAATATTAACCCAATCTCATATCAGTCATACTTTGCTTTCTGATTTTATAGTTTGTAATATTAGAAAAAGTTTCATCACATTAAGAGTTATGAGAATAACGGTTGCATGAACGTTAGACAGAAGCTTGGTTACATCAGAGATTTTACATGAAGGCTGACATATATTGCTACATCCATTTATTGGCTGGTTTTAGACCCATTTCCGCTATCAATACCGGTTTGAGATGAATATTGAAAATCAGGTCGCCTACCTGTAAAACTGAAACCGGACCATTTTACAGGCAAACTCCCCAAAGGGCCAGTAGTCATGGCTTGCGTAGTTGTAGATGAGCAAAGGAAGAGACAGCACATACAGGAAGTCAGCTATGGCCAAGTTGAGCATATAGACGTTGTTCCGGGAGATGTGGGGCCTGGTCCTCCATATCTTTAGTATGACCACAGCGTTGAGAGGGACGCCAAGCACAAAGACAACGATGTACACCGTAGGCAGTAAGATCTGCTTAAAATCCTCCTTATAGGTGCAGCGTAAGGAGCTGACATTACTAGAGGTACTGGCAGAGATGTCTATGGTGATCGGTTCTGTGGGTTCTAAACTGGTAGAGAGGAACTCTGTAGGGAACATTCTGGAGATTAGAGTTTCAGTCGAGGGGGAGTTGAGAAAGTGTTGCATCTTTACAGCCTGTAGGACAGACAAAGAACAAAATATTAAAGTCAGAAGTGAATATTTACCTGCAGGGCATCATGATGGTGGCGATGAAACCAGTTTAAGGTGGTCTGTGGGTTTCTCTTCCAAGGTAAACAAGAAAAAAAAAAAAACTTTGAATGCATTAGAAGCTGTTTTAAGGTCAAACCAAGTTAAACATTCAAGATGCCATATCTCTCCACCAGAGGGCAGAAAATATCCACTTTGGTGACAGAAATTAAATTCTTAAATGATGCAGTTTACCAACAAATTTAGCTTAATGTGGAAGCAAAATGTGTGTAATATGTGCATCTTTTATGCAGTGAAAGGGTGAGGAAGATAATGCAGTAAATCCATAGTGATATCCCCTATGCTTTATCATTATATGATTATTTACAGTTTCAATCTATACAATTAAAAGCTGGTAAATACAAACATATTCCAAAAGACCTGAAGCTTTAGCTGCAACAGAATTGGTTCACATATATATATATATATTTTTTATTTCCCATCATATTCACAAACATTCACCTTTGTTTTGGTCTATAATCCTAAAGTCCCAGCAACATCCTCTATTCTTTGTGGTTTTGACAATAACAGAAAGTTGAAGGGGCAAGAAAACATTTGCCAGCCTTGCTACTATTATAGAAAGAAAAAAAAATCAGTAGTAAACAGTCAGCTGAGAGTCTGGATGTACAAAACAGGATTCTTTAGTCTCCATAAAAATTATTTGAGTAAAAAAAAAAAAACTATAGGTCGTCTGGACTCCTTCACAGACCCCCCAGCGTCTGCAGACAGAATAATCCAACAAGCACCCCTCTGACAATCAGCCCCATCCAAGCTTCTCAGGGAGAAAAGAAGTTGAGCAAGATAGTTTACTTAAGCTGCCAGCCCTACAGCTACAGCCTGACTCATGGCATTTCACAACATGGTATTTGTAAAGACAAGTGAGAATTCTTTTTTTTTTTTTTTTTGTGGCTTTTTTTCAGAACTGCACAAGTCTGTGTGTTTTTCTTTAAAGAGTCTGCCTGCTGCCCTGGCCCTCCTTTCTGAGTAGGTGCAGGAATTTTGACGTAAGACTTCTGGTTTCCTGGTAATTGAGCATGAGACAGGAATAAGGCTT